TGGTGATTCATCACTTACATATAACACCCAGTGCTCATCACAAGTGCCCTCCTTAAGGGGCGCCTGGGTGGCTCAGTTGGTTAAACGACTGCCTTCGGCTCGGGTCATGATCCTGGAGTCCCGGGATCGAGTCCCGCATTGGGCTCCCCGCTCGGCAGGGAGCCTGCTTCTCCCTCTGACCCTCCTCCCTCTCATGTGCTCTCTCTCTCTCAAATAAATAAATAAAATCTTAAAAAAAAAAAAAGAAGCTAGCCTTGGCCTCATACACCCGTGTTGTTACCACCTTCCTTGCTGTCACCACTGCTAAGGAAAAATGCTCTCTCTTGCTTCTCCATTTAGGATTTACTCATACTGTCACTTTCAGGGACAAGTGCACTGAGCACAATAAGTAAATAAATGTATTGTTTTATTTACAAAATGCCTCCCAGTGTCATTTTGGGAGCAGGGCAATACAAGTGAGACAGGCAGGACTTGGCTTGTGACCTGTTGTAAGTTGTCTGTAGTTTATTTTTAAATAACTCAGCATCAACAACGTGGCTATATGCAGAAGTTCAAAGGTGGTTCACACCAAGGGTAGTCCTTACTCATAACAATATTAATGGGAAAGGTGAAGGCCCACAAGAACCAAAAAATGTGAAGACAACAAAATATGGCTTATTAAAGGATGTTCAGAGAAAGAAAATCAAAGGACACTGGGAAAGTAGAACTCTCAACTATTTTGTGTATTTTGTTTCTAATTTCTCCATCAGTGACTAGTCTTTGATACCTAAGCCTGATTATGATATGACCAAAAAAATTACAAACCAAAATCACTTAACAAATACCAACGCAAAAATCCTAAATATAGTGAATAACATCCAGTAATACACTAAGAAAATAATGTATTATGACCAAGTGGGACTTATAGAAAGTATGAAAGTATGGTTTAATATTAGGAAATATTAATATAATTCACCATATTAATATGTCTAGTTGCTGAAAAGCACTAACAAAATTCAACACTTATTCCTAATTTAAAACTCCTGAGAAAATAGAAGCGGATGGATACTTTCTTTTCTTTTTTAAATATTTTATTTATTTATTCATAAGAGACAGAGAGAGAGAGAGAGGCAGAGGGAGAAGCAGGCTCCCAAGGACCAGGGAGCCTGATGTGGGACTCGATCCCAGGACCCTGGGATCATGACCTGAGCCGAAGGCAGACGCTTAACCATCTGAGCC